TAGAATAGAATAGAATAGAATAGAATAGAATAGAATAGAATTCGTTTATTGGCCAAGTGAGATTGGACACACAAGGAATTTGTCTTGGTGCGTACGCTCTCAGTGTACATAAAAGAAAAGATACGTTCATCAAGAATCATAAGGTACAACACTTAATGATAGTCATAGGGTAGAAAAAGGAAAAGGAAGGAAGGAAGAGGAAAGGAGGGAGGAAGGGAGGGAGGGAGGAAGGAAAATGAAGGAAGGAAAGAAGGAAGGGAGGATGGAAAAAGGGAGAAAGAAAGAAAGAAAGAAAGAAAGAAAGAAAAAAAAGGAAGGAAGGAAGGAAGGAAAGAAAGAAAGAAAGAGAAAGAAGGAAGGAAGGAAGGAAGGAAAGAAAGAAAGAAAGAAAGAAAGAAAGAAAGAGAAAAAAGGAAGGAAGGAAGGAAGGAAGGAAAGAAAGAAAGAAAGAAAGAAAGAAAGAAAGAAAGAAAGAAGGAAGGAAGGAAGGAAGGAAGGAAGGAAGGAAGGAAGGAAGGAAAGAAAGAAAGAAAGAAAGAAAGAAAGAAAGAAAGAAAGAAAGAAAGAAAGAAAGAAAGAAAGAAAAGAAAGAAAGAAAGAAAGAAAGAAAGAAAGAAAGAAAAGGAAAATAATCTTAATGGGCCCTGGGACCAGCCAGATTTCAAATATTTGGAGCCAACATCTACAACCCTTTGCTGCCCCGAGCCTCCCTTACTTCTCTTTCAGTATTTGTGGTTGTGTTGGTGGCTGTGCTTTTTCACATCACCATGACAAAACACCTCAACACAGCCTCACAGCCTCCCTCGTGCCACTCTGCATTTCAGGCACGTCGGTCGTGATTGTGACTTTCTCCCAAACCCCCCAAAAAGGGCCCACAAACACCCCCACCCACACACAGAGAGGACTGCCTGGACTTTCCCCAATGGCAAATATGACCCGTGCCAACCCAGGATTTTTTCGTGTTGACACACAACTGCCCCGGCCATGCCAAAGCGGGCGTGGCACATCCTCATACAACACGGATAAATAACACCCACACAACACACCGCAAAAGCAGATGCCAGCAGGAAGCCTGGCATCTTGCAAACAACAGACACAGGTTGGGGTTTTCATTCCTCGGATGACCCCCAGGCCCGGAATCTGGCATTGTGGGAAAAGGGATCCCAAGAGATCATCCGGGAAGCCTGTACCACTGGGTAATCTGTTTTCCTCTCCCAGCAGTAAGAAGAGCTCAGGGAAACAACAATGTGTTAATTGTCTTATGGGAAGTCAATGGGAGTGGCTAGGTTAGTGTTTCTCAACCTTGGAAGCTTGAAGATGGGTGGACTTCAACTCCCAGAATCCCCCAGCCAGCAGCGCTGGCTGGGGGATTCTGGGAGTTGAAGTCCACCCATCTTCAAGCTTCCAAGGTTGAGAAACACTGGGGTACATGGACCGGAACTCAGCTCCGGTCAACAAGGAATCACATTGGTGCTAGTCCTCTTGATCTACATTTTCCGATTCACGCACCGGTAATCCTTGACTTCCGACCATATTCGAGACTTGGGATTTCCAGTGGTTGTTAAGTGATTGTACGACCTTTTCGGTCCCAATTAGTAAATTTAATTTAATTTAATTTAATTTCCAATTTATATACCGTCCTTCTCCCTGAGGACTCAGGGCGGTGTACAGCCAAAATAAGAACACCGAATACAAATATTAAAAAACAGTTTAAAAATATATATATAAATTTGGCCCAGAATTTAAGAAATCACAAACCGATTAAAAGAATTTAAAAAATTTCTTCTTAAACCAATGAATCACTGCGGTCGTTTAAATCAATCACACGGTCGTTAAGCAAATCCAGCCATATGGGAAGGGCCATCCTATGACCCTCCGGGATGCTGCAAGCATCAGAAATACACGATGGGATGCCAATCGCCTGAATTTTGATTACGTAACCATGGGGATGCTGCCACGGTCGCAAGTGAGAGGACTGGTAGTATGTCCCTTTGTACCGCCGTCGTAACTTTGAACTAAACGGGTGTTAAGTTGAAGATTACCTGTACTGTATACATCCAGGGGTGAGTTTGCACGGATGAGCTCCACCATGGTGCTCCAAAGGTCTAATGATTTGGCTCTTCCTGGTTTTCACCCAGGATGCTACATCGTGGTTTGCTGAAACATGGCTTGCAAATAAACCAGGATTTCCGAACTGTAAGGAAGTTACACCCCAAGGGTTGAAGCCAACGATGGGCAATGCCATCCCAGCTGAATGGGAGGAGATGGTTTCCCCGTTCTGAGTTTAGCCTGTTGAGGCTTCCCACCTTCCATTCCTTGCAGGTATACTGCTGTTAAACATGGAGGCTCAATCTTTAGACAACACGGTGAGTCTAACGCTGGCAGGCCTGGCCTTCGCTTGGATGACCATTCTAAACCAACTCTCTAGCGCAGAGGTCTTCAAACTTGGCAGCTTTAAGACTTGTGGACTTCAACTCCCAGAATTCTCCAGCCAGCATAACTATGCTGGAGAATTCTGGGAGTTGAAGTCCACAAGTCTTAAAGCTGCCAAGTTTGAAGACCTCTGCGTCTAGCAAGACAAAGCTTTAGGCAAGACACGTGGCATAGAAATCAAATAAATATATGATAAACAAATAAATAATATAAGCGTTTTACCACGTACAAGAAGTCCTGGACTTACGACCACAAATGGAGCCCCCAAATGTCTATTGCTAAGCGAGACAGTTGAGTTTTGCCTCATTTTACAGCCTTTCTCGCCACAGTCGTTAAGGCAGTCACTGCAGTTGTTAAGGCAGTCAGACGGTTGTTCAGTGAATCTGCTCGTCAGAGGGTCACAAAAGGGGATCGCAATGCAACCGTCATAAAGGTGAGTCGATGGCCAAGCATCCTTATTTTGATCACGTGACCGCAGGGATGCTGCAACGGTCGTAAGTGTGAACAAACGCTTACGTAAGTCACTTTTTTCCCGGTGCCTTTGTGATTTTTAAACCGTCACTAAATGAGCTGCTGTAAGTCGAGGACTACCTGTAAAAAGGTTTGGTAAGATCCAGGAGTGAAGCTAAATCCAGGAATTTTGCTCACAGGTGGTCTCTGAAGGCTATCAATCAATCAAAGAGAGTAGAGCTGGAAGGGGCCTTGGAGGTCTCTAGTCCAGCCCCCTGCTCAAACAGGAGACCAGTGATGGCGAATCTTTTTGCCATCGCGTGTCAGGAAGGGGGGGGCGTGATGTGTGGCCACACCCATAATTCTATGTGCCCCACCCCGCGCATGCGACCCCCTGCTCCTGGCACGCGATGGCCCAGTAGTCCCGTTTTTCTTTCTCTCACCGGGCTCCAGATCCTCTCTATGCATCTGGGGAGGGCGAAAACAGCCTTCCCCACCTTCTCGGAAGTCCTCCGGAGGCCCAAACGGGCCCGTTTTCCAACTTTCAGGTTAGACAGGAAGTGACTTTTTTGCTATCCCCAGCCTCCAGAGTCTCCTAGAGAGGCTGAGAGCTGAGCCATAAGTTCGCCATCACGCTCCTAGACCATTTCAGACAGGTGGCTGTCTAGGCACTTCTTAAAATCCTCCAGTGGTCAAGAGGTAGACTGCTCTTGGACAGGAGTCTTTGAAGCCAAAACCAGCGGCAGCAACCAGGCCCACTGGAAAATGCAACTTACGACCCCAACAAAGCCCACAATTTAGGTTGCTAAGTGAGAAATTCGTTACGTGAGTTTTGCCCCATTTTACGACTTTTCTTCCCATGTTCGGGAAGTGGATCGCTGCCGTTGTTAAATGAGGAACACGGTTGTGAAGCGGATCGGATTCCCCCTGACTTTGCTCGTCTGAAGGTCGCAAAAGGTGAATCACGCGACACCGCCACCCCCGGGGACACGGCGTCTGTCATAAGTATGAGTCAGTTGCCAAGCATCTGAATTTGGATCGGGGGAAGGCTGCGACGGTCGTAAGTGTGAACTATGATCCTAAGTCACTTGTTTCCGGGTTGTTGTCATTTCAAACAGTCGCTAAGTGTAAGCCGAGGACCACCTGTAATTGTTTGGAATTATCCCACCCACCCACCCAAAAATCCCCTCTATAGTTTTAAAGGGGGGGGGTCGATCTGAAATTCACCCTGGGGGTCGCACCTGGAATTCCAGCTGCCCTTCTGGCCTGTGGGGGGTGGTATTTTGGGGGGGTGGGGGGAGGGAAGTCAGGAGGGAAGGGAAGGGCAGCCTCTGGACAAGGAAGGAACTTGGTGGCGCAGCGGACTAAAGTGTTGTTAAGTAGCACTTAGCTGCCAGCTGCCTGCAATTACTGCAAGTTCGAATCTCACCAGGCTCAAGGTGGACTCAGCCTTCCATCCTTCCGAGGTAGGTAAAATGAGGACCCTGATTGTGGGGGCAATAAGCTGACTTTGTATACAAAAGAACACCACTTGGGGGGGGAGCGAAAAGCCCTACTAAGCAGGTATATACAAAAGTATGAAGGCTGTTGCTTAACGCATTGTAAGCCGCCCTGAATCTCCGGAGAAGGGCGGCATATAAATTGAACCAATAAACAAATAAATAAACTGTGGACAGAGGCAGCCCCCCAAAAACAGAGACCGAGCGGGAAGGGGAGAGGGCTGCTGCCTATGGACCAATGAGGTTGGACTAGATGACCTACAAGATCCCTTTACAACAATCAGTATCTGAAGTGGGGAGGGGAAGGGGGGGGACAGAGATGCTGGAGCTGGAAAACGGTGAGGCTGGCCCCCCCTCCCGCCCCCGCCCCACCGAAGATGCTGAACAAAAAGGCTCTTTTTCCAAGATGCCCCTTGCCCGGGCTGAGCGCAGGGGAGGGGTCGCGGCGACCCCCACCCGCTTTAAGGAGGGGTGGGGGGAAATCCCCGCTGCCTCGCCCTCCGGATGCCTCCGCACCCCCCACCCCCGCGGCCCTGCACCATGGTCCTTGGAGTGCAGCGGAGGCCGAGTCCTGCAACGCCCTCTCTGCGGACCCCGGCCCGCGACCCCCCGACCCACCTGCTGTCCGCCGCTGAGCATCCTCTCCAGCTCGGCGGGGCGATCGTGCCAGACCAGCGCGTGCAGCGGGTAGCGGCTCTCGGCTGCCTTGCTGGCTCGGGGAGAGGCGGCCAGCATCCTCCTGGCACCGGGGCGAGGGGCTGGCGGGGCTGCAGCCGCATGGGCGCCGCGGGCACCGGGCGGGCCGGGCGGGGGGAGCCGAGCCGCCTCCGCGGGCCCTGGAGCTGCTGGCACGCTGGCAGAGAAGAAGGAGGAAGAGGCGGAGGAAGAGGAAAAAAGAGGAGGAGGAAGGATCGAAGAGGAGGGGGAGGCGCCCCCGCCGCGGCACACAAAGGGGGTCGCGTGGATGGGGGCGCCCCGGCTCCCTCAGCCCGCTTCAGCGGGGAACCATGGGACTTGGAGTCGCCGCGGGCACCACCCTACCCGCCCGTTCCCGCGAGAGGAAGCCCCATCACCACCACCACGGGCACCGCCCTTCCCCCCCCTTCCCTCCCCCCCTCCAACGTGGGAAGGGGGCTGTGGCAGGCGGTGCCGCCCGCGGGCGCCAGGTTGCAAAAGCGATGGTTTGTCCCACCTGTGCTGCAGCGCTTGCTGGGGGTTTCTGGGCGTCTCTCTTCTTTCGGGGAGGGGGCTGTGGGAGGCCTGCGGGGGTCCCTCGCTGCCCTCCGGCGGCTCTGCGTGGGGGGGTTGGGGGGGTGCGAAGACGGCTGGAAGTGGGTCTGGAGCGATGGCAGAGAGGGTGGAGGGCCCCCAGGTATCCCCAAAACAGGAAAGGGGTACCTCTCCGCTTGCCACGCACAAACCCGTTGCAGAGAAGCCCCTGCAAAGCTGCCCATCGTGGCTTGCAAGGGGCCAGCTGGGTGCGGTCCCCACCCCTGGCTGGGGTTGGGGTCCTGCTCGGTGCCCATCAGGTTTGAGACTGTATGGGGAGGTGAGCTGAGGTTTGGGGGCATTGCCCCGAGCCTGAGAAATTGCTTCAGGACTTCAGGTGGCCTGCCAAGGGCCAAGCAGGACTGGCTGAAATTTCTAGGCTCAACCAGCGACTCGGTGGTCTTTAAGGGGAAAATGAGAGTGGTGGGAATGACCCCTGGCATCCCTGTGCCATAAGAATGGGCATCACACTGATTTTTTTCCTGGGGTATTTTCATCCCTGCAAGGCGGTCATTGGTGTTATTTGTTTGTTTGTTATTTATTTATTAGTTATTTGTTACTTCTGATCCCTTTCATCCTGGAGACAATTGTAGCATCTTTATGATTAAGAAAAATATACATTGAAAATGGGAAAAATTAAATCTCAGGGCACATTTTTTTTTTTTTAAGATAGCAGTACAGTCCTGGCCTTAAAACCCTTTGTTTAGTGGCTGAAGTTGCAGCGGCGCTGAAAAACTGGATTATAATAATAATAATATAATAATAATAATAATAATAATAATAATAATAATAATAAAATAATAATAATTTTATTTATATACCGCCCATTCTCCCGAAGGACTCAGGGCGGTGTGCAGCCAAAATTAAAATACAAATATACAATATCTAGTTAAAATTAATTAAAATCATTAAATAGTTTTGGCCGAATTTTTAAAACCCAAAATTAAAACCCAATTTAAAATCATTCAATTTGACAGCCCCGCCTGTCGGAACAGTATGACCTATTTTCACACTTAACGACCGTTGCAGCATTCCCCAGAGTCATGTGATCAAAATTTGGGTGCTTGGCAACTGACTCATACTTATGACAGTTGCAGTGTCCACGTTTGTGACCTTCCTAAGCTGTTTATAGCCAAAACCAGATTTGCTTAATGACTGCATGATTCACTTAAGAACTGAAGCTGCACAAATGGTCACAAAACGGGTCACAGCTCACTTAGCAACTTTTCTTGCTTAGCGATGGAAATTTGGGGCTCCGTTGTTGTCATAAGTCGAGGCCCACCCATATGCTGTTACTTCCGATCCATTCCATCCTCTGGACAATGGTAGTATGTATATTAAGATAAAGATGCATTAATGTGGTTGTTAAGTGAATCCCATGGTTGTTAAGCGGATCAGCCAGGATGCCAGGACCATCATAAATACATGCCTTTAAATTTCTTTTTTTTTCTTTCTTTCCTTCTTTCTTTTTCTTTCTTTCTTTTTTCTTTTTCCTTCCTTCTTTATTTTTTTTCTTTTTTTATTTTTCTTTCTTCTCTTCGTCCTTTCTTTCACCTTCAGTATTTTTCTTTTATTTTCTTTCTCTGCTTTCTTCAACTTTCTCTTTTTCCATTCTTTCTTTCCCTTTCTCTCTTCCTCTTTTCCTTCTTCCTCTTAATCTTTCTCCTCTCCTTTTTCTTTCCCTTTCTCTCGCTCCTTTCTCTTTCTTCCTCCTTTCTTTGACTCTCTCTCTCTTTCTTTCCTGATGAATTTTTGGCACCAAAAGGGGCACAGAGCAGTCTCTGCAGAAAGGCTTAAAAACTGTTTTTTTTTAACCTCTCAAATGGCCATAGAATTTAGGCCTCGCCTAAATCTTCTCCCTTTTAAATGCAAATTTTAAATTTTAATGTGTTTTAAATATGGGTATTAATTCAGCCAAATTTATTTAATTCATTTTATTCGATTTTAAATTTTGTATATGTATGTGTTTTATTTCATGGCTGTTCACCGCCCTGAGTCCTTCGGGAGTAGGGCGGTATAGAAATTCAATAAAATAAAATAAATAAATAAAATAAAATAATATATCCTGTCCCGAGTATGTTACTCCTCATGTCACTGCAGCCCAGACCTTTGAACCTGGCCTCTCAATTTATTCTTTTATTAGCTTTATCTCCTGCTCCTCCATTTTCTAGAAATGTACTTAGCCTGGAGATCACCTCTGGGGAAGATTTCTGAGCTTCAGTGAGTCCAATCAGACCTCTGCACCAGGTGTGTCTGGAAAGGTATCTAAGAAAGTCTCAAGAGGCTTGCCGCCATCTGATTGAAGCTCTACTCCTATTTCCATGAAACACACGTAAAATAGGATTTTAAAATTATTAGATGGTTACTGTCAGCATTCTGACTTTTTAAAGCCATTTTTGATTGCCCCATTTATACACACGGCTACAGCCACTCACCTTACAGCTACATAAACCTCCAGTGCTTAAACAAGCCGGATCTACCATCAGAATAGAGCAGGAAGGGACCTTGGAGGTCTTCTAGTCCAACCTCCTGCTCTGGCAAGAGACCCTAGACCATTTCAGACAAATGACTGTCCAGTCTCTTCTCAAAAACATCCAGTGTTGTTGGAGCACCCAAAACTTCTGGTGGCAAGCTGTTCCACTGGTTAATTGTCCTCACTGTGAGGAAGTTTCTCCTTAATTAATCTAAAGAGACCCTAAATTTCCTGCAGGGATCAGGTGCAGCCTAATCCAAAGGGATTCCGGAATTTCCTGCAAGGACTCCCCCGTAAATCGATATTTTATTTTTATAAATTATATAATTTACATCGCACATATGTGCGAGGGGAACCTTTACCTTTAATTATAACTATATAATTATAAATTCCTTGTGTGTCTAACCCCCTTGGTCAAATAAAAGCTTCTCTTCCCTACCCATCCCTTTCCTTCCTTTCCCTTCTCTCCTTCCTCTTCCCTTCTTTCCCTTCCCTTCCCTTCTCTCCCTCCCCTTCCCTTCCTTCTCTTCTCTCCCTTCTCTTCCCTTCTTTTCCCTTCCCTTCCCTTCTCTCCCTCCCCTCCCCTTCTTTCCCGTCTCTCCCTCCTCTTCCCTTCTTTTCCCTTCCCTTCTCTCCCTCCCCTCCCCTTCTTTTCCGTTCCCTTCCTTTCCCTTCTCTCCTTCCTCTTCCCTTCTTTCCCCTTCCTTTTCCTTCTCTCCCTCCCCTTCTTTCCCCTTCCTTTTCCTTCTCTCCCTCCTCTTCCCTTCTTTTCCCTTCCCTTCCCTCCCTCCCCTCCCCTTCCCTTCACTTCTCTTCTCTCCCTCCTCTTCCCTTCTTTTCCCTCTCTCCCTCCTCTTCCCTTCCCTTCCCTCCCTCCCCTCCACTTCTTTTCTCTCTCTCTCCCTCCTCTTCCCTTCTTTTCCCTCCCTTCCCTTCTCTCCTCCCCTCCCCTTCTTTTCCCTTCTTTTCCCTTCTCTCCCTCCTCTTCCCTTCTTTTCCCTCCCTTCCTTCTCTCCCTCCCCTCCCCTTCTTTTCCCTTCTTTTCCCTTCCTTTCCCTTCTCTCCTTCCTCTTCCCTTCTTTTCCCTTCCCTTCTCTTTTCCCTTCCCTTCTCTCTCTCCCTCCCCTCCCCTCCCTTTCTTTTCCTTTCCCTTCCCTTCTCTTTTCCCTTCCTGTCTCTTTCCCCCTCTCTCCCCTCTTCTTCTTTTCCCCCCTCCCCTCCCCTTCATGTACTTCCATAAGAGAAGAATAATTAAAACTTAAGACACTGCATATTGCCTGAATCTGCATGTGGGGCCAAGGCACGACCCACACCAAGCCACCAAGTAGCTAGGCAACCCCCTAGATTGGAGAAATGCCACTGTTGGCGTTTGAAATGCCTCCGTTGTTGTGAGAAGCTTTGGTGGAATCAGTTAAGGCTGCTAAAACGGTAATCCAATTTAGAAGAATCCAATTGGGCGTTAATCTCCCAAATTGACAGTAATCATTCACTCACACTTCAGAATAATGAGTTTCTGTTTTCATGGATTAGGGAAAAGATCACTTTAAAACAAAATTTTGCAACCTTGGCCACTTTAAGATGGGTGGACTACAACTCCCAGAATCCCCCAGCCACCCTTGCTTAGCTGGCTGCGGCATTCTGGGAATTGAAGTCCACCCATCTTAAAGTAGCCAAGATTGAACCACTGTCTTAAAAGAATGGGACATTAATTTTTTTTTCGACATCCATTGAAGCCGATATGACAAAAAGCTCAATGTTTTGTGTATATATTTATTATTTGTATTTATTTATTTAATTTCTATAGCCACCCATCTCAGCAAATGACTCTGGGCAGCTCACAATTCAAAACATATATTCCAATTAAAAAAAAAAAACACCTTAAAACAATAAAAACAGTAAAATGCATTGGGATCAGTAAAAAATAAATAAATTAAAGCATCTAATTCTCTTTTAGTCTCTTGTATGATCCACCTTGGAGGTTAGTAGAAATTGGATGAAATTGGGAGATTCGATATAGACACAGGAATTGTAACTCATCCTGATATAAACCCATGTTTATTTTCACTTTAATAAACTTTAAAATATGTGAACTTTAATTAAATAATTAAATAATAATTAAATAATCACATAATTAAAACATGTGAACTTCAACTCCCCAGAATTCCACAGCCAGTCACAGGGAATAATGTTTAATAAAATTAGTGGGGAAAGTGTTAACAATTGTGCATGGGGGATAGAAGCAAAATGTTGTACAACATCACAAGGACAAATCTGTGCTCAATTTCCAGCCACAAAGTACTATGATA